TTGCTCCGTGCGGGAATCCAACCCGCGACACGTTGCGCGGCAGTTAGTTTCCCAGCCACCGCGCCAACCGATGTTAATACATGAACTGTTGAATTAGAAAAGCTGATTTGACTGGAGTTAGGTACTGAATTACGTGAAATACTGATTGCAGTTATCTCCGTGTAGAGTTACCTAAGTGTTTAAAACACAGTAGTTAGTGTTAATCAAGTACCCTCTTTATGATTTAAAATTGTATATTTTTTTAATAAAAAGAAGAATAGATTTAAGTGATAACTCTTTTAAAAATAGTGAGAAGTGGGTGTTTACATTGAACATTGGCATTAAGTGCTGTAGATAATGTGCACCTCTGCCTGAAGTTATGCTTAATTACAATGTAGCAACCACTTTTCACTATTTATTTTACGAGTCCCATGTAATAGGGGGTGAGCCTATTACCATACACTGGGCGTAATTCTAGACTCCGTGCTACTACTGAGAATTTTTAAAAACTCAGTAATACTTTGTCCGACCCGGGAATCGAACCCAAGGCCCCTTGCCCGGCAGTTGCACTTTTTTTTTTTTTTAAATAAACGTAGCCCCACACTAGGATTACCTCCTGTATCGTGGGTGCGTTTACAAACATATAAGTTCACATACACATGACACCCAGACCCGAAACAACAATTTGTGGATCGCACAAAGTGTTGTTCCGTGCGGGAATCGAACCTGCGACACGTTGCACGGCAGCCGGTTGCCCAGCCACCGCACCAACCGTGCAGTCGACCACTAGGCCAACGAGGCAGTCACTGAAATTGTAATCCATCAATGAAATTATTAATGTTTGAATGCTATAGCAACCACATTCAATACTTGTACCTATGTATGTATATGTATAGCTATGCTTAATATGTTGGTATCTATTTGGTGATGATCAGACGGTAGCTACTAGCTGTCGAAACCAATCAGTCGCCTTTAATTAATTAGGAGATGTATTGTAATTTAATGGAGAATAGATACACGTAAATGTACATATAGGTGGATAATTTGCGTGTATAAAATTGAATAAAATAATTATTTTATATACTACACGCCAAAAATGAAACGTTTAAAAAAGAGGTGGTTGACCCCCTCTTCTTTTGAAGTCGGTTAATTATTATACTAAAACCTTCTCCTAAGTGTATGTCAATACGGAGACGCGGAGAACTTAACGGGTTACCGGGGCTCCGACTCGAAGTGCAACAGTAACAACGGGGTGGTTTTTAGTCACTAAGAGTCTGACACTCCCTCCTGCCTTACCCAGGCGGGAGCAGTCATTCGATAATATATGCCCCTTAAAAAAGTGTAAGAAACAATTTTCTGTAAACTACACCAAAATCGGTTCAGCCAATCACGAGATAATTGCGCACAAACATACACACAGATTAAACCAAGTACCTTCTTTATTTTCTTCCTTTAAAAATAACCGTATGTAGAATATAACAATATTAATAAACCTCCCCTTCCCCAATCTCCGCAATTCCTGAATCCGCAACGATCCTCAAACTCCTAATCCCCAAAAGGCCGGTAACGCACTTGTAAGTTGTAACGCCTCTGGTGTTCCAGGTGTCCAAGGGCGACGTCGATTGCTTACCATCAGGTGATCTGTCCGCTCGTTTACCGACTTACACCATAAAAAAAAAATTGGTACAAACAATGCCAAGTCAGTAATCAGTTATTGTATAGATTGTTTAATTTAGCAAATATTGTGTGTAATGTGGTTTGTTTTTCTGTCTGCTGTCAGTCATGCAAAGCACTTTTTTATATTTGATAGGCCGAAGTATGACCACTATTTCGCCAGGTGGTAAGCGATGATGCGGTCTACGACGGGTCACGTCGTTCCATAAGCAACCTATTCACTCGGAACTTGAAGACACCTAGGTTATATACCCTTCAGGAAATACAGACTCTGGCAAAGAATTCCACTCCTTAGCAGTACGCATAAGGCAGCCTAATATAAATTTTTACATGGAACAAAACACAGGTACTATTGTATCATAAATTACAACAAAGATATATCAAAGACTTTTGACCAGTTAACGTCAATTTTAACCAATAACCGCCACCATAAAACCAAAATAAAATGTCAATATCCAGTACTAATGACAATAAAATATAATACCACAATGCGTTTTCTATTCTAATCTCCATAGAATCTCTTTCATTGTCCAGTTGACGAGACTTAACGCATTAATAAAAGTCCGTGACAACAGTTGATACAAAGCGGTGGTGACGACTCCGGGGTCCGGGGTCTGGGGTCCGGGGGTCGTATCACGCGATCACTAGCGTATTTTTGTTAATAGTCCCCAATCTTTGGATGGGGTCCTGGTCGTGAGAGGTAGCGGATAGGGAGTGATTAATGAATTTTGATGTAGGTAGTTTAATGGTACTTCTTTATTGTCGTATAGTTGTGAACGAGTTTTAATGTATTGTTAGAGGTGCGTGTGTGTAATAACTATTGACTATGATTGTTTATACGTATGGTAGTTATATCTGTTCTATTACAAAAATTCAAGTTGTCTTAAATACTGTAATAAGATTAAATAATGTAAGTGGATCTGGACAAAAATGATGTTTGACGCAAACGCTATTATTTCTTCTTCGTGAAAAACAATTAATAAACCAAGCAACTAAAATAAATAATTAATACTTCAAGCCATATAAAAACAAAAATAAAAGTACCTATAAAACAAAATCCAGCTACAATATGTATACTCAAATAATAAAAACAAAAAAAAATCAAAACAGCGCCAATAAAACAAAACAAAGCTAACAAAAAAAAAAACAAAATCATTTTATGACGTAAGTGGTTCACTTGCACCGGGTCCCCCTCGGAGGGTCAGTGTAACAGCAGGGGCCCACAACCCCAAATAGAAAGAGCTCTCAGAAAACTTCGGCCCCTTTTATATGACCATCATAGAATTCCGCTCAGATGAGCTTCAACACCATACATTGGTCCGCTCACACTCGGTCTGTCGTCAGATCCTCACATACTTTTTGTTTCAGTCATTTTTATTTTGTCTTATTTCTGTAGAAATACAGCCATTACATGGATGAAAGATCTTATTGAAGTTGTGTGGTTTGTTGAAGCAAGATTTGTGGTGCTGTACTCAGATGTTCTTTGTACTGTCGCTATGTATTATATGTTGGAAAGATACCGGATTTTTCTGTGTGTCGATGTGTGTTTGTAATGAAACTTATAAAGATGTTCTGGTACAATTTAGTGACTAGTAGGTAATTATTATGGTTGCGTAGTTAACGTAAGCAAGAACGTATTTATTGTCGATTTGGTTTTTCTTCAATATTTTGTAATTAATCCGATACAGTTAATGCTAAACAATTAATTCCTATGTTTACAAAGATGTTAAAATAGCTAAATAGAAGTATAATTTAATTTAGCATATTTTGACTCTTGGCATATTTTAAATAATTTTTCATCTTTGCCAATTGTTATTATTAATTTATTTTAAATGTCTAATCTTTTATAACTATCCGTCAGACGATCAAATGACGACAATCAAAGTAAAATGAACTGTACATAATCAGTAACAATGTTTCAAATACAATAACGTGAATTGTTAAACTGTTAGACGTCGTGTGACCACGAAACGTGTTGCTGACAGGATAAATGCAATTGCTCCTTAGCACCTGCTAGCACTTTGAAACTGATTATATAATCGCTACGTCGCTAGCAGAGAAAAGGACTTTAAATATTTAAGAACTAACCTTCATGTGGGCATATAAACTATCCGTTTTATCTTTCACTGGTACAAAGAGATCCTTTCTATGTTGTGTAGATCTTTGGTTGGGCTATTTCCCATCAGTCAGTGTCCGAGAATAACCTTACAGCATTGCTTTATAAACAAGTACCTAATCTTAAGTAAAAACAGATAAAAGTGACATTAAATATTACAGTTTGGTTCCCTATCTAAAAAAAAAATCTCTTCAACTTAACGGGTACTTTCGGGCGTAGGAATATAATCTCTAATTTTTCTCGCTTCAAGAACTTTTAATGCGGAAAACTTCCCAATACTGTACATATTGTGGCGTATAATGTTTGAAGTATTCACAAGTTATCAACGAGATTGTATCGAGCATCATTCAAGTGGAACATAACGAGTGAATGATTCAGCGAAGCTATTATAATTACAATCAAATATAAATTGAAATTATATTATTTAATGAGTCCCAATATCAATTCATCGTTAATTGGAAGGCCCTGGAGTTTTGCAACATCGATGTAGTAAATTTATCAAGGGAAAACTTTCAGTAGAAACATCTGTTTGTGTACCGACGAAATAATTTACTCCGTCAGTATATTTTCCATTGCATTTTTTCTTCGGTAGCATTCTATCACTCTGGTCGTGTGTCGGGCAGTGATGTATGGAGCTGGTGGTTCGCGCCGCGGTCCGGCTCGGTGTGGGCGGCGCGAGGAGTGCGGCGCGAGGGGAGCCACTGACGTCACGCGCGCCTGCGCACTACCAGACTCCTTGATGCACAGAGTAGTATGCCAATACAGATACCAACGTACTTGCTAAATTATTCCCAGTTTTGAGAACGTGAAATATTTTACAGCTTCGCGGTTATGATTATGTTCTAAAAATAGAATATTACATTCGAATTGGTCTGTTTAAACTTTTAGCCGATATTAGACCGGATAAATGCTATAAAAATGAAGTATCGTGAACTCCGTATATTAATTCTTTTTGTTTCACTTTTATACTTCAGAAACTAAACATAAACAAAAATAATTTATAATTACTGATCCAAATCCAAAAACCATCATAACATTGTTTTTAAATTTCAAATTAGGGGTATATTGAGCATTTACATTGCCTCTATTCGTAGCAAATCGTAATTCAAAACCAATACCGTACTATCAAACTAACCTACCATACTGCCGTACGGCAAAAGAAAAATTATCTCTAGCCCGCAAGTACACTGTGTACGGCAATCCGTGTTCGCGACAGCAGGCGGGCGGCCAGTCGACTCGCTCGCGCGCGCTGCTACGTCCGTGTGCTACGCGGCGCTACGACGCGTAGCGACTCGCAACTACGCCGCTACGGCAAGCCGAAAATTATTTGGCAGTGACTGTGCGAGGATATTGAATTAAACGGAATTATTTAGTGCAATAGCCAGTGGTGTGCTTCCTCAGTTACTGAAATAGCGGAGCTGAATAATTCCGCGGCTCGACTATAAGGTGGGTGAATATTGAATAACGAGATATGAATAGGTATTGAGAGCTCGGATGCGAGTGGTTTGCTCTAATGTCAAGGACACGGATATTGATCAAGTACCAGATGCTAAGACTACTTTGTTTACTTTCTGTGTTTGTTTTACAGCCGTGTTTACCAACCGTCGTGTTTGTTGCGCATTTGTTATCGGAGCGCTTACATATGTATACGGTTCCTCGTGTTTATTCTAAGACGTATTTGTACAGAAGAACAAAAAGAGGTTTTACTTTACACGAGACGAAAGTCTTTGAAAAGGCCGTTAAAAGTAATACGCAACAAAGGGATAGAAGGCGGAGTGGGGTAGAGAATAATTTATAAGGATAGGTGCCACCTCGCGTTACAAGTTTCATGAATTAGAAATGTTGAGGATGCTTATAAAAATGTTGGATACACGTTTTATTTTCTTTTGAAAAGAAAGTTATTGAATGGAAGTAATCAATAAGACATTAGTTGCGACCTTTTAGGTAATTGATTATTTAGGTTCAGTGACCTTTGGTGAGGGACATGATGGATTTAGGTATAACAGTTGCTTGAACTCTCTCCCGTGTATAATAAGTTTCAATATACCTCGTTACATTCAAAATCCTACGTTAATAAAGGTACAATCTCCGTTTTGCGGTTCAACAAACTTCTTCAGGCATTCCTTCTCATATATTTTACAATTTACAATGAAATGCAGCATGAATCCCTTTGTTGTATATTTTCATGTTGCATTGTTAATGGAAGCATTGAATTCGTTTCCTATGTTCAGTTAAACTCTCTATAGGCAGTTACACAATAATTTAAATAAATTTACTTTGAGTAAATGATTTTGAGGATACGTTTGGAGGATAAACTAAATATTAGGCCTAATATAAAATTACATGCTAACTGACAATTTTAAACCCAATACTCTGCTGCATGCTGTAATTGGGTACGACCTCGTGTTCAGTGTCAGCATGTGACAATGGAGGTGTCTTAGCTTTTGAGAAAGCGTCATAGTAGACGACTTTTGTACACTTGTTTAGCTTGCATCGTCTTAATGTATTTGGTTATAAAACACAATAATAGTTTGAAATATTAAAAGTCGAAACAGTACTAATACGACATACTAGAAAGCAAGGTGATTACAGAGAAGATAATATACGCTATTGAAGAATCAATAGCGTACCTATATTGTCACATAAATCCTACTTTTCTTGCAAATAAAATGATTTGATTTGAAAATATCCGGAGTTTATCCAGTGGAGGATCCAGTGCATACGAGTGCATTTTATATCCCATTCGATATGATGCAATCGGTTTAATATTCGCGTCAGCCGTATCTTTACCACGTGCGATCGATATAAAAGTGCTGAATTATTTATTGTAGTTTGCACCTGTTTCTATTTCTTCAAGGAAAAATTGGAACGATTTTAGGAATAACTTTTCACTGTTCGTGAAAATATTTTAAGTGTATTTATTTATTTAGAAACTTTACATATATAACACTACAGCTTACGCCATTAAGTTATACTGTTAATCTTATACATATAAATACTATTATGTAGGTTAAGTACCTACAACAAAACAAACTAATTAGGTAATCAAATATAAGAAATAAAAATTAATACAATTCAGAAACAAAATTAACAAATAAAAAAAAACTCTACAATTCAATAACAAATTTGGTAATTAGAGTTTGTATTAACATGGCAATTGCCTAAAATACTTTAGACTAGCTGGCCATTGGAAATTACTATAAAGATAAAGTATTTGACCCAATAGTCGACTGTCAGAGAATACCTACGGCTTTAAATCCGCCAATTTCATAGTGTATGTGCAATAAAGTTCAAAAAAATGAATAAAATTTCTTTTGAATATCTTTTCTTTACTATTACATTCGTCCTCTTAACACGTCCTTAACTAAAAATATAGGACGAAATACCTCAAAAACAGCGTCAACGAAAATATGAAATACAACATTAAAATGTTTTTACTAGATCATAAATTATGGGACACTTACATCAACCATATTCCGAATTCTGATGGAAATGGCGGAATGTAGGAGCCGTGGGTGTTGAACAATATTTCATTCAGTGAATTTATTGTAACGACTATACAGCCCGGCCTCGCTTCATTCCTTCATTTTCTAATGTTGCGAACCTCAAGAAAAATTACGGATATCAATTTTTGAATCGAGCTACGTTTAAGAAAGGTTTCTCGCTACAAAGTAAATGGATAGGTAAATTTGTTAGGCTGCTTTAACAGTGATTTTTTGTGAGGCATCCTTTGTTTAGTTACATTGTGTTTAGGTTGTTTTTTGTCCTGAGATGTGAAAAACATTTTCGTATTTTTATATTTACGTCTTTGAATAAAAAGTTGAATTATAGTAGCAGGAATGATTTCTACGAATACGGGTCCTGGTTTGGGTATAAATAGAGACTTATTTCTAAAAATACATTTTGCTATGTACTTATAGTAAAGTTACACGGTACGTAGTTCTACGAACTTTCCAAGAATACTAGAATTTTCCGAGAAACCTTGATTAGTGCTAGCTTGACCTAATGCTTACATTTCCGACCAAATGTATTTAGGTTAACTAACATACAATTTGTTCTAGATTTCAGTTGTTTTAGTATTAAAATATTTAATGTACAATTTATTTGTCAATTCATTGTAATGTGTTTAAGGGCCATGTTACTGTTTTCATATTCCTATTATTGTGTAGCAAAATGTTTAGATACCGTCGAAAGCTGCAGCAGTTTTGCAGAAGCAATTAAGAGGATTTCTTAAAATTCTTATAATAACTTCATTTATACATGTCAAATTCCCAACCAAAATATACTCGAACACCTAAAGTGAACAGTAAAAAACTACGTATTGAAAAGTGTGCATAAATGAATGTAGAAAAGATAGATAAGACGGTTACATAATGTCTTTGAGATAGCACGTGTTCGCATTAACGGTATTTTATGATTTCTTTTTATTTCGAACCTGTTCGTACTCCAAAGGGTTTGTAGGAGAGAGCCTGAGGTAAAAAGATTAAAAACACAGCTTTCCCATTGAGGGAAGGTGGCATTTTATGTAGACCTTTTTTCAGCGTCTACTGCATAAAGGTATGTCTAGTTATTTACCTTCATAAAGGTTTTTAGGATGGTATGTTTTGATGATCGTGGCTCCTTGGATGGTCGTGTTTATTTGCAGAATAATGAAAGTTGGGAAAAGTTTCACTGTGAGTATTTCACTATTTATAGTTAGGCGTGCGTTTAGGCGCTTTTGCCATACCTATTACTGGAAGCAAGTATAACAGCTCACACATAGGACCCACTTAGATTTTAGTCAAATTTCCGTGGTGCTTGGCGACCGGGCTTCATCCAGTTGTACAGTCTGTTTTCTTTGTGCCTTTAGGCTTAATTCACTCTGCAGTAATTCACCGAGGGAAGTGGAAACTATCGTTTTTTTTCTTCTCATCTTATATTTTCTGATTCACTTCGTTGCGGGAACCAAGATAGTTGTTCATGTCCCTGGGACGCGTCGGACTTCAGTGTTCCGATGTTTTCATGGTTGTATCTACTGTAGATCCTGGCTTACAGGAGTTGCAGCGGTTTTGGGAGGCTGTGGTAGAATTGTCCCTTTAAAAAAAAATCACTATTTATAACTCAAGTACGGGTGAATCGATTTGGCTGAAAATTGGTGGCGAGGTAGCTTAGAACAAGGAAATTTATATAGAACTTGTTTGTCCAAGGATTTAAATGGTACCATTTCCTTTTCTTACATACGTTGCCCCACACTTGAATTTTATCCTGTGCCGTGGGTGCGTCTACAAATATACAAGTTCACATACACATGAACGTAGACCCGAAACAACAATTTATGGATCGCACAAAGAGTTGTTTCGTGCGGGAATCGAACCCGCTACACGTTGCGCGGCAGTCGGTTTCCCAGCCACCGCGCCCACCGTGCCTTCAATTTTATTATTTGGGGCTCATAAAACTGCGTATACATAGATACAATATGTAATTTGGATTGATGTGAGGTTTTTCTGTACGAAGTTTTTCCGAAGGTGAGAGAAATGTGACGACATTTTTAGCGGATTAGACTTGACATTAACATGATGACAACTTTACCTTTTGTTTCAAAGAATTTTAGAAAAAAAAATCCACGAATTGGATATAACATGAGCCAACAGGCAAGGTACGATTATTTTGCTTAGATCTTCGACATCGATTTATTTATTCACTCACTCACTGGTGCGAGGCGATAGAACAACTTTTAATTAATATTGGCGAAAGAAATCGGATCCACTTCGCTCACCTAATTTTAATTTAAGAAACTTCGTACAGCTCTTGAACCTATCACTATTTTATTGCTAAATTAATGCCTAATTTTAATAAAGAGGTATCGGGTGTTTCTAATTTTAGCAATGTTGAAGTTACTAAAAATTGAATATATCCTAATTATTATAACATAATTTTTACGACGAAAACGATCGACATTGAGGGATCTTTGGAATCAGTTCTATATTTTAAACTTGTGTTATTTTCTTAGTTTACTAATACATTATCGTATATTTAGACGCCCAAATACCTAAATTACTTTGCTTAATTACGGCGAGACCTGACGTGCACTGGTAGGTGTCGTATGTCGTATACAGGGTGGCACGTGAATGCAAGTCGTTAGGCTGAGTGCACATTACGGAGCTGCCCCAGTACTCTGCACGCCCTAGTGGCCCCGAGAGGCGAGGCTTCATTGTCTACAAGCAACAGGCTTGTAGTTTCTTTAACAATTTTATAACTCTATATTTAGCTTAGCTAAGTTGTTAGGTGAAACTCATTGTTGTGGTTAAATGGCTTGTTCCTACTATGTAGTCTGCGCTTAGGTTGTTATCTACTACATTGCATAATATATTGTTTTGGCTTTTCTAACAGCTGTAAAAACCTGTGACAGATTCTTGGAACTCATGTTTATTTGGTTGTGGAATATATTAAGAGTAGTAACGACTACT